GCTCTCAGACGTGTCACTCTGTGACACAAGAGTAACTGAAATTATTTTCAAATGGAACTGTTTTCCAATGCAGTAGCCTCCGAAAAGATGGTTTGCTAAAGCATGCTCCAGAAAAAGCAACTTGGTTCACAGAAGTCAGGATGATGATCTGATAGCGATCTAGCCAATGAGACTTGCATAACATGTGAAAATGGATGGAAACTAAAACAAAAGCAATCATTTCACCTGGAAAAATCTTGGAAGATTTGAGAAGGAGACATGCCAGTCTCCCAAGTTCATTAACCCCTAACCCCAACATAGATATTCCAAAACTAATCGAAACCTCCCTTGATCTGATCACTGCAGAAGAGCAGGCTACCACACAGTGACACTAGTAAATGTGTGAACATCTTGTTTCAGATGCAACTCTTTTTACGCTGAAGTTTCATGGTTAGGCACAGAGGAAATGTTTTTTCATTCATCAGACAGGATTATCACAGTTTGCTTCCCCTTACATGAACATTGTTCTGTCTTGAGCAACCTTCCAGTTCAAACTCCTTGCAATCTAGAAATTCCAGCTTTGTTGCATGAGTATTCAGTATCTCTTTTATATCTGCTGCTCAGGGTTAAGGGTAGGTTATTTCCAGTGTAACTGAACCTCTAAATTCTCAGCCATTGCAGCCATTGGATCTGTCTCAGTTCTCAAAAGACAGGCATGCAGTGTGACCATCATAGAAGACTCTGCCAGACAGAAGGCATTTTCATCTCAATTTAGGACAATTGATAGATGAGTCGATATTCTTTCAAGTCCCCAATTCTTAGACACAAAGAGGCTCAAGCCAAACAATCAGAAAAAAAGGGAGATGGTAGCTCCACTTCTTACTTTAGTTACCACCCTGGCAAATTAGTCACATGATCTCTATCAGTAGGAAAATTGTGATGACGAGTGGTTTGGAATCGTTTATACTCACACTTGTTCATTTTCACGTACAAATAGACAAAACTCCTTAAAAATGACCCAACTGTGCAGTTGAATACAGTAGTGTTCTCCCAATATTAAGTCATCTCTAGCTATCCGTTCACTGTCAGAAAGCCTCCGAAAGCCTGTTGTTGAAAGAACCTGCAAAAGACAATCCTCTGCAAGGCAGGACTGAGAGCACATGACTGCTCTTTCCCGGAATGAGAAGCCAGTCCATCACAGGGCCAAGGCAAAGTGAAAAATCAAAAAGAAGGGACCCCCAGCCAGAATCACACTCAGCAACCAAGACATGCGGCAGGAACGCTGACTGCCATGTCTCTATGCTGTTCTGTGTGTTACCTCTAGCAAAAGGTCTCTTTAAATAACCATTTTAAAGATTTTAGCAGACGTGAAAATACTAAACAAGTGACAGACAGGAAACCCCGACTTTTAATTAATTACAGTTAAGAACACTTAGCAATGCCTATGACGCCATTACTGGGGGACAGCCGGCAAAGACGCCAAACGCTTATTTCTCACTAGAACAATTCTGATCTAACGGGATTGTTGAACGACATTCAGATGCTGTTAAATGCAGAAAGTTCCTTTGATAGAGATGAGACCATTGAGATGAAAGCAGAACAGGGCCACTCCACGCTTGGCTGAAGGTTTGTTTTGAACACAGAAACTCTTTAACTCCATAACTGTCTGTAATCATTGAGTGAGGAATCTCTAATTAGGAGTTTGTGTCACCCACATTATTGAAGCAAAACATGAAAGCTTAGTGATTTAGAAAGGACTTGGATTCATCTCCATTCACTGTTGCTGCTTTTGCTTGCGGTGGTCTTTCATCTTTAAGCCCACAAACATCTGGATCAGCTTTGCAGGAAGTTGAAGGTATTTTATCCTTTTCTTCCCCAAGTATGCTTGCTGTGTTCATCTAAAACTTTAGAGGCTATATAGCTTCGATTCCGTCATTTTTGAGTTATCCTACCAACCGAACCAATTGTTTCTTACTCTGTGTATTTTGGGACATTTCTCAGCAACCATTAATGTTCATGAGCACGTAAACTACTACTTCAAATGCCATCCAGATCAAAGACTGGTTTCCCCTTTGTTCCTGGAAATTATTAAAAGGTTAGATTGTGTAAACCGCTTCATCTGTGTGTGCTTTTAAGGAATTCTTTTCAGGGGGAAGAATGTGTTCATTAATTAAGAATTGCCGTCACTTTCACTAGTTTATATTCATTTGCCAAAATTACCGTATAATTGACAATATTTTCAATACAAAGAAACTTTAGGTCGTTATTTTATATACTGTAGCCCCACTCTTTGCTTTCTCAGTAAAATAAACTATCATTGTGAAGCTTAAGCTTTTAAATATCAAATGTTGCTCCAGAGAATGTCACTAGGATGAACAGCGCTTTTGGATCCTTCTCCAAATAGTGTGATCTCGTGATAAAATACTCTTAAGTTTAAAAAGATTAATAAATAACTTAAATTCTTTAAACCAAAGATGCATCGCCTCGTCTTAATAGGAAAGTTCAGAAGAGAGAAATGATGAGCAAAAGCTGTTCAGAAGTTAAATTGCAATTTAACAGTTTTTAAAGAAAATAATTAGATTTTGCTTAAAAGCTGTTACAGGGAACTGAGTTTCATCATCTGCTGTTGTCTCTGAATGCATCACTACTCAGGTAAACAGAAGACTCAATTAAGAAAATAAATTAAGAAACCCTGCAGAAGAAGATTTTACAGAAGTAAACATGGACAAATCACGGCCTAAATATTTGACAAATACACAGACAGACATTCATAGGTTGTCTCAGCACTGAAAAAAGTAATGGCGAAAAAGACAAAAAAACAAGGAGAGGAGACCGTTTTCCATCAATTAAATTCAAGAACCATGTTTATTGCCTTTGTGAAAGGCAAGATGTAACCCATGCTCCACTCTCAAAGTTCAAAGGATTCAATTAAACTGATTTCTATAGAGACAAGTAAATTTTATGCCAAAAGAAATATCCCTGTGAATGTAGTTTTATTTAAATGGCCATGAATTTGGAATACTGCTAACATATACTGGTGCAATTTTAATTAATTGATTATTCATGATTTTTCACAGCACACTGAACTATATGGTACCCAATCATCCTATAAGTGAAAAAGGGAAAGGTCAGAGGAGATGAGGTAATATAACTTCTTGAATGTCAGGCTAGGTGATAATTCAAAAGAAAAAAAACAAACAGAATAACAGCACCAGCTAATGAAGAGAACAATGTTTTGCATCACTTGTATGGTATGGAAATCACACTTTGGGCAAATATGAGCAGTGGAGCCAAGTTCATTTTTCAAAGCTCCATCAAAGCTGTGTGTGGAGCAACCTGATGTACAAAACAATATGTCAATTATTGTGTCAGACAGACAAATCAATGAAGAGGTTCAAGTGTGAATGTCTGGAATGGAGTGTCTATTTGCTGCAGAACTCCACTTGTAGTAAATGATGGCAACCCGATTGCATAGTGCTACCTTAATCAAGTCCTGGGGCTTCATTGGCTGCCCTTAATGTGGACTCATGCTGACACGACAACATTTCAGGAGGACAACATACATCTACTGTAGTAACTATGGCTTTCTTGCAAGATTACAAAAGTTATGCCATTGATGGTGAAGTCCCATTAAATGTAGATTCTAGAGATCAGAGACCAGTGCACCTGTCTGTGTGACAGATTTTCACAAGACAGCACCTACAGTCTAGTGCAAAGCACAGGCACCAATGTACTGTATATTTTAAGGAATTAAGGAATAGCAACTTTTAAAAGTAAGCTGTAATAGGAGAAAAGTTAATCGGAGGTATAGTGGCCGGATTATTTCTAAATGAGTGACAATTAAAGGCACAGTAAAAATATTTTCTGGAATATATAGTCAAACCCATAAAAAGTGTGTCAGGGATAAACTGAAAACCTAGGAAAAATAAAGCAACAATAAACCAAACCATTATTTTTTGTGATCCGGTTTCTGGGATAGGAAATAATTAAAAAAGCGACATAACACAGAAAAGCAATTCAACTTTGGCCCACATCCATGTGCTCAATGGATGCTCAAATGGCAGCTACCTGTACAAAGAAGACGCCAGGAGTCCAGGTCACACATCAGTATTTCGAGTTGCCCTCAAGAAGGCTTAATGTCCGTGACTTCTCCCCAGCCCCTTGAACTGAGTGGAGTAGAGCACCGTATCTATGTAATGGGAGGATGGAACACGAAGTGGTGTTACTCTAAAATGACTAGATACAGTATACCCAGAAATAAAAGGGGGCATATTCCGTGCCTTTTCTTTATATTCATCCTTTCAGCTCAAAACTAAATTGCCCTTTTGACTTCACTGTATTTAAGGGTGTAGATAGGGTTATCCCAGGTGACAATTTAACATTCAATAGTGTCACCAAATGGTACCTAAGGGAAGAAGAAAGAAGGCAACACTTCCGTTTCTGGGTATATGGATCAGGCTTCCCATCGAATAGGAATGGGCTCACTTGGACCAGGGCAAAATGCAAATGGCACCAGCGCTAACTGACCATAATCTTCACAGTTACACCAATGAGAAACACTGGAGAACAAGAAATATTCTCTCCCAAAATAGTACAGAAATTGAGGAGACTCTCTCTCAGAACACAGCCACATCCAAACACTTACAAATCTTGTTAAACAAAGGCGCCCTTGGGCCCTGAAGAGCACAGAGCAAACTTGGGCGTGTTAGCGAGGCCCATTAGGAATCAATTTAGAGTCATCAAGTAAGTTCTTTGGATCAAACTGAAGTGATTTGACAGGAGTTGTGAAGTCCTTTCTGAGAGAGAGAAAGACTGTGCCTGTTTCTCAATCATTGTCACATTGATTGGGTCAGCCTTTGCTGTACTGTTCTGTACCCTCCTCCTAGTTATCCTACTGAGCCAGGAGCTGCAAAGACAAAGCAAATTACACAGGACAGCAAGTTTAAAAGTGGAACGGGGTGCAAGCTAGTCAGAAAAAGTGTGTCAAGTCTCTTGACTGACCAACAGTCTTCTTCTAAACATGCTTTTTAAGTAACTTTATTTCTCATGTTTTAGAAAATTCCAGCAAAGAGAAAGACATTCCTGATGTTAGGAGAATCAATGAAACTATTAAAAACAAACATCAATGCAGGAAAACATCACTTTACATACCACTTTAGAAAACTAGTATTCCTGTGTTTCATCTTAACTGCTGAGACATGATGTTCTTCACCAGCGGCCACATTTCTAAAGAAATAAATGATTTAATGGCAAAATCATAAGCAGATTAGAACAAACACATACTCAGTCGTAAAAAAACTTTTTTGCTATACTATACAATCCACCTATAACTTTGAAACAGACTGGCTCGAGGAAAAAAAACTCTATTGTACGGAAGTGCCAAATTATTAAAACACATTTACATCTTTTGCTGAATCAGGTGAATGAAGTCAGGCTACACAAAAAGCATCTTTATCCATGCCAGACCTATGACACATTGTTTTTATTCATTGCATATTTTCCACTAAGCTTTAATTCTTAAGTGTGACAGTTTGAAAAAAGGGATACATACTCTCTGGTACAGACCAAACCGATAAACCAGTTTGCCTGTCAGAAAAGATTTAAGGAAATGCTAAGGAACAGGATAATCCCTTGTTAGCCGACTCAGGGTAGAAATTATTTTGTGGTTTCAGGTATTCAAGGGTATACTAATATACCAATTGCAAGACGAAATTCATCTGCATTCACTTGAACAGCCTGCTGACATCGCACATGGTTAACAAACAGTGATGCCTAGCCCTTCCTGTCGTTGATATCAGTTTATTTAATGACTGTTCAGATTGTATGTCGGAATGTGACCTAGGTAATCTGACTGTGTGGTCCTGCACTTATTCCTGATGGGAACAAGAGACTCCTGCACAGTTATTATCTATCATTATCAACATGCAATGTAGGTTAGACGATGCCTCAGTCTTGTTTTTTCTTTCATGCTTTGGCTCATCTTCTTTTTGAACTCTTCTAAATTCTCAAGGTCAGCCTACTGTTACTTGAAATAGACAAATCGAAATATTTCCAGACGTCAAATTATAATTAGACATTTTTAAATAAACAATGAAGAAAAAAGTCTTGCTTAAACCACATGCAGCTTTGAGAACTATATAAAAGAAAGATGAGCAGTACTAAATCCTTCTCTTTACCGTAGTTAATGAGAGCATGTCTGATTTGCTTTAGAAATATATTTTAACACAAAAATCATTTAACTGAAATGCTTTGCAGCCACAGTGGACATAGTAACATAAAATGTGGGAGCGTGCTATGCACAGATGGTCAACCAGCAGTTACTTTTACAAGTTATTCCCAAACGTGAATTCGGAAGGAAGTGTCGTGTCTGCTGAAAGCTATGCCTTCTGACCGTGGGAAACAGATTTGATGGTTTATGATTCCCTTTTCCGCACAATTGCTGCCACAACATTATGTTTGAATAATTAATTGCATTTAACAAAACTGAAGATGTATTACTTGGAATTTAGAACATGTATATGAAAAAATAAAAGTAACACCCGGGAAGTATCACATATTGCAGCAAAGTGAGAAAAATCACAGCTTTTCTAGAGTTTTTGCAACACAAAAATCCACACAAATTTCAAACTCAAAGCTCTGCTATTAATTTTCTATAAAGTACACACTGTAATTGCCTAACACCAACAGACTACACTCTAATCGGCAAAAGTGAGGTGCAATTCTGATGCAGTTATATGCACACAGATTTCACAGGCTCTCGGATATCACTGTGGAGAAGGCACAGGGGCGAGGTCAGATGATAGTCTGGCGGCTGAAGAGTTCAAGGGTCACAGCACTGAGGAATGCTGGGATGCTCTTTTGATGAAAGAGGTGAAGCTCCACAAGGTCATGGAGAGTGCGGGAGAAATCTGTTTCCAGCAGTTGCATGTTCCCTCCTGTTGGCCCACTTGCCTATGAAAACATGAAAACAGTATTAATATTTTCGCATTTGTCACTATGAAAGCATTCTGCAATTTCCCTGGGTATATCTGAAGGGCACAAAAATGCACAAACAGTGACAAAAGATTTCCATTTTATCTTCCTTGTCCTGGAGGACGTTTCAGCTGAAAGATGTGATGGATTTTTACAAAGTGTGATTGTGCAGTACATATCTCCTGTGGAACTACTAAAGACCATAGGTACACAAAAATAATACTTCTGCCTTTATTATTAATGTATTTTCAACAAGGAAAAAAATAATGGTAGTCTTTTGCATCATCGTCTAAAAATATAAGTATATATTCTTGGTTGGGAGGACAACTACAGAGATGATGTTTTTGCATTCTTGCTAAGGTAAAACTGATGATACATAAGAACCAAAGAAGGTTATATCAGAAAACTACAAGTGAAATCTATTACAGTTTACAGCAGTTGAACACAGCAGGTTTTCAACACAATGTACCTAACTTTGCAACTGAAATTCAACTATATACGAAAAAGGCGAAAGCAGCTTCATGAAAAACAAGACAGCAGAGAACAAAACTTTCACATGGTCTTTTAGCATCGATACATTGATATTGAAGCTGCCAGCCAAGAAAATCAATATTCTCATGAACTATATTACTGCTTCTCAGGTAGAGTGATGACTTAACATCTTCAGCTGTGATACCTGCTCATCCCAGTCATGGGCTGGTTTCTTGCTCTCATTCTAGACTGTGTACCATGTTTCATTGGTTTGGTTTTCGGTGCCTTTAAAATTAGATAATTATAGCAATAGATGGTGGTATTTGAATTTCAGCTGGAATTAGCTTGTCTGCCCTTCCAAGCTCGATTGACTTCTTCTGAACACTCGAAACAACGGGCATTATCTGATTCTGGGTCTTTACAACCTCTTCCTGAGATCTTTGAGCCATGAGGCAAGTAAACAGGGAAGAAAAGAGGGATGACAAGCATGATTGAAGGGCATCCCTAATAAATTCAGGTTGAACTAAGTCACTATCAGATCATTAAATCAGCCACCTTAAAACAAACATAATTAACAGTGATCAGAATGTTCCCTGAGGTGTTTAAGATATCCCCCAAGCTGGAATGAAGCAACGCTGTAAATACAGGTACAAAGAAAGAAAAAAAGGTTAGGAAGCAAAAATGGATCATCACCATCACCTTCACCCGAAGAAGAGCCGTTGAAAGAGATTCATCTCCTTCCCAATCATTTCTGTCTGGGTAATCTTGAACTCTGAAAAAGTGTCAGTCTCTGAGCCCTGTTATATAAGACAGCCTGCAGTCTTATTTATTCATTCAGATTTGCTTTAATGTGGAACCTACAGGCTAAAACCATATCTCCAATGTTTTGTGAAATTGGTTCCCATTCATTTATCAGCATCTATTTAGAGCAGACAATTTCGTTCTGTTAGGGATCCATTTTGTATTTTAGGCTGCAGGTTCTCTTTCTTTGGCTTGCTAAGGAGGTTTGTGTATTGGGATTAAAGGGACAGAATTCTGAGATTTTATATAACTGAAGGGACTGGATCTCACAGACCAAACAGTGTATGTAAAACCAAACAGTAAAGAAACGTCATAACTAATAAATACTGTCCTGTTTAAGTCTGATTACGACTGATTACACATGTAATACTTGGTAATCCCTGACTTTAGAGAGTGGAATAATTCATCTTTATTATTTGCATTATTATATACATGCTGACTTTTATATTGATTTCATAACAACACTAATTTTTGCAATGGAAACAGCCTCCCCCAGGTTTGTTAAATTATATACACATATATACAAATATATTATATATATACTATTAAAAGAAAGCAGAACCACTCATTTCCAAAAGTGTGCATTAAAAGTTCAGTCATCTAAATATCAAGATCTTGTACTGAATTATTGTCAAGGAATTCGAAGGAGTCCGCCTCATGGGACTAATTAATAGGAAACCATGGATTTAGGCTATAGAGAATTTCTGCACCATTATTAAAACATTTCTAAGAGCACATCAAAGCTGTCAGATGCAAACGTGGCTTTTAAGTTTGTGTTGTAGATTTAGACATCAGGGGGTTATGTGGATCCTGACAACTCAGAACTGATGGCAGCTCTGGTGGAGAGCTTGAATGTGACAGTCAGTACCTGGCATCCTGAGTCCACAGCACTGTCATGAAAAGCTGACAGACAGTGTCAGACGGTTACTGTTGCATCATTGACGGGTTGCAATGATTTGTTTTTGTTTTGTTTTGTTTTTTAAATCTGGAAACAAAACCATTCAACACAAGTGGCCACTTCATTTTACACGATTCTGTTTTTGAAGTATATCATTAAAGCACAATCTTGAAATGAGAGAATTCCTTTTTCCTTTGATTGACAACTTTGATAGCTCATGCTGTATCTTATTGATCCAATAAAATTGACGATCTGTTTCTCGGAGGATTCCAGGGAATCTGCTGCAAGAGGATGGATATGTTCCATTCCTTTGCAATTCTGTCAATGAAGAAGTGCCTCCTGAATGAAGTCCTAGATTCACTGCCTCTGGATGACACGAGTCCTTTCAAAAGAAATGTTTTTAAAATAACGCTTTCTGCTCCACGTTTTATGTTTGTGTCTGCCACTAGTCATTTTGTATCTGAGAAAGATAAAGGAGTTGAATCTCTAGTCCTTCAGGTATTAGAATAATATACTGTATGTCAAATTAAAAAAAATGCTGATTAAAAGTATGAACATGCTGCTGTCCTGAGGGCATTCTTTCATGAACATATTTATTCCATCACTGATAATTAAATAAGGCCATTTGGTAAGTGCTCCATCAGTGTGCTTCCTAGAAGGAATCTTAGTTGCTGAAATTAAATTTTCAGGGGTATTATAATAAAGTGTTTTTCAGATAGCATTTTGTTATTTTTTTTAAAAACTATTTAACAAGAAGGAACAAAAACTGTTGTGGGCTTTGTAGGTATTACCAATTATTACAATATTTAAAGGATGAAGGAAACCCAACTTGCATTTTTTAAACGATGACATGAAAATGTGGCGAAGATTAATGGCCTACTAAAGGAAAACAGACATTTGGCATGAGGTAATTGAATTCCTGTTGTTATCAACTATTCAAGCAGGTTCAAAAGAATGTGCTCCAGTCCTGGCCAGCTGTCTATAAAGAAACACTCATATGGAAGTGCTGCCCAAAGAAGACCGATGAATGAAGAATATTCTTTGATGTCACACTCTATCACATCAAGGTGAGAATCTGAAAAGGATGACAGAAAGCACTTAGCCTGAGATCAAATTTAAATAAAACAATATTTTAGACCTTTCAAGTCCCAGTTAAAACTCATTTGTGTCTTACCAATTATAGTGAAGCATAATTCCCCATTATATCTCCTCGTAAACCACTTTGGAATAGTACATTAGATAAAAGTAAAGGTGTACAATTGTGTGTATGTTGGGGAGTGTTAATACTACTTCAAATAATACAGGTAACTGAAAATGTTGAGAGCTGATCAGTCCCACCTATCCCAATAAATTGGAATCTTTCTTCTTTATTAAAATGATTAAGATGAAAGTACTACAGTACTACCCCTGTGCTATGTAAATGTATGAAAAAAAGACTTGCAAGACTGAGACAAACAACACAGGGAAGTTCTCTGTGAACACGTCGACAGAGGAATGGAGAGAAGGTTTGCAGGGTGCAGAAATGGCAGCTCATTGTAAGAAAGTGGGTCGATAAGCGCAGAGTATAGACTAAGAGCATAATTTCAGGTGATGTACAATAAACACAATGTTTCCTTCTTGAACCCAAAACTGTGGTCAACATTTTCTATACCACATTATTTGTAATCTATGTGACATCTTTTTGTCTATGAAGGTATATTTACTTAGAAAGCAAATAAAAAGCAAAACCAAAGATATCACGCTACTGGAGAACTGCGATAAGACTTCAAACTGAGAATGCTGTAGGGCTTAAGGAGAAAGAAGATAAACCAAGCCTCTTTTAAAATAGAGTGTTCAACAGCTACTGTACGTGCTGCCAAAGTCCTAGCTTGCCTTTGGTTTTCTAAAAAAAAAAATTAAAGCTGAATTGACAAAAATCATCCTAGGACCTCAGGGGGCTACTCTGCGTTTTCACTCATCCTTGGATGGTTTCTGCACAAAGATATCGCATAAAAGGAAGAAACACGAGCAGTTTCCGTATACCATAATCCCAAATAAAAAACAAAACAAACCTGAAAGATGTTCATGAAAAAAGTTGTGACGGCGCCTTAGAAGTGCTGTAGCCTGAGCAGCTTGATGTGTGACTCATTTAGAAGAAACATTACTCAAACTTCCTAAACCTGACTCTAGCCACAGGCCAGTCTACAGCTGTGAATGTAATTCAGCAGTCAGGATCCCCTATCAGCCTGGAAGTTATCGGTGGCGCATTGTTAGAACAAAAAAGGCGCTTAACACAAAAATATTTATATTCTGTGATTACTTTAACCCCTTCATTTCTAGCTAGAGAAAGTCTGCTTCTATTTTACTCACTTTGTCTTACCATTTGTGACCAAAGTCCTTGAAGATGGAATTTGGCTTGTGTTATACTGTCAGTTTACAGGGCTCTTAAAGCCATATGGGAGGACATGAATGATCTCTGGCTGGCTGTAGGCTTGCTTTGCTTCCTGAACTAGGTGGTGCCACAGTCAACAACCTAAATAATGTTTTGCCTTGTTCAGTCTGTACAAACAAATTGACTATTAAAAAGAAATATTTATAGGGAACACAAATATACCAGGTATACTTGCCATGAGCCTTGCAAACGTTTTTAGCCCTAAGCAGTAATGTCACATTTTTACTTACAAATTATGAGCACAGATGTTTTCAAACTGAAAGGTGGTGAAGGATGATTTATTCGACCGTGTCACATTTCTCGACCACATGGTGGTCCACTGCACCACCGGACGTGGACACGTGCATCGCCAGATGTGATGAGAGGCTATTGCTCTGT